AGAGAGAGAGAGAGAGAGAGAGAGAGAGAGATCCTAAAGAACATAGGGATAGCACGTTGAACTTCCAATATCAACAGAGGTTAGTAATGTAGTATTGCGAAACAAAAAATACCACTTAAATTGCTATATTCCCACGCTATTCAAAAATGCTGATGTACATATAGAAATACAAGCGGTGCAGCCACAAAGAAAATACATGTAAAAGTTGGCGCCATTTTCATCGACAAAGATCATGCCCAACACTTTCCGGAGATGGTACTTATTCATCAGGTGACATCAACCCTTCTGAGAGATTAAACATGGTGGCTGCACCAAAAAGGTTGGCTATTTGTCCAACTGCTGCATACGATGAGGGAGTCATTGGCAAGACACAGTCTGGGAGGGCGGGTGAACACTTGGGAAGATATTCTTTCTTGTTAAATGTTGGAGCATATAGCGCTAGCACCGCCCGGCAAAATATAAACCTGAACCAAAAGATGTTTGACCCTCAAACACAAGCACAACAGTAATAAACCAAACCAAACAAAACCAAACTAACTCTGCATATCCCACTCAGCGTTAGTTTGGGGAGGACGGAATGTATGCAGACATCTCAAACTAAATCAACTTCCGTGAAGACCCCCCCCCCCCCCAAAAAGCTTGTGCAACAATGTGAGCAATAAAGATTTAGCATATGGTGAAAGAAACACAAGACAAGTAAGCAAGGATAAGAACAAAGAGGTACATTGAACAAATATAAAAGATAAGGCAACGCAAATTACGCAATACCACACATAGCAAGTACAGAAACACATCCCTAGCCTAAGCTGCCATGACTCGACCCCCCCCCCCTCTCCCTAACCCAAGGGTAGAGGAGTTGTTCATGCGAAAACCTCCGGCTGGTAAAACGAGCACAATAATTTTTTATTAGATTCAAGTTTGTTTTCATTATTGGGTTCAAGAAAGCACAATAGTTTTGAATCCAATAAAGGGAAAAAAACTTAAAGCATGAGCATATGCAAGGGTGGCTGAAAGGATCCCAAGCTAAATATTTTACATTCAAATGTAAAATGAGATAAATTATGACACTTCCTCTGTGTGATGTCCCATGAAATCTGCAACATTTACCTTTCTCTCTGTCATGTTAAAATTGTCTATTTTACATGTTCTCATCATTACAGATTACTTGATTATATAGATTTGAGCACAGAATATTCTTTTTTTGTCTTCATTGAATGGTATTTTAGTTATTTAACAAATAATCAAACAATTTCATTACATTATGGGCAGATAAACATTGCAAAACTACTCAGAAACTTCAAGTTTTGAATGTTTTATTGTGCTAAAAATTTAATAAACTACATTCAATTGGATAGTATTCAAACAGAAACATTTTGGAGACAAATTACAAAATTCTATGTTAAATTTGGATCTTAGAAGTAGTACATTTTTTTTATTAACCTGGTTATCCAACCCGCTATACGAGCCGACTAATCCCAGGGCGACCACCTGCTTTGCAGATAGCCTGGAGTCACCGCATTTGAACCTCCATGACCCTTTGGAGCCAAGCTCAAACCAATCAGGCACCACCCTTGTGGTTAAAAGTAGTACATTTGCATCATTAAAACAAAAAACAGACTCCTTTCTGTGACAGATGGAGCAGACATTACTCTGTTCACATGAGCATCGTCGCACCGGCTAATACTAATATGATATTGTCCCTATTTCCCTCCAAAAAATTACAAGGTACTTCTGAAATATGTATATCAGTATATGAATATACTATTAAGATGATATAAATGACCCTTGAAGCCATCTATTCTTTTTTACTGCAAAACTTGGGGCAAAATAAGATACTTTTAGCATAGATTTTCTGATATAAATGTATCAAGTCTTTACCACAAGAAAGATTCATTGGTTAACAATAATTGTAGTTCTGCCGATATTTGTGGGTTCCTTAATTTGCATTTTTTCCTCAGAAAGGAAATAAGGTAATTTGATGGTATTCATATGTGTGTGCATCTGCACATGACTTAAGGGACCATGAAAATGTGTATAAAGAAGTAGTTAAGGAAGAGATCATAAACTATCCACAACAAGCTCCTTCATATATGATAGAGTCCCAAACCATATATCATATAGGCAGTCAATCTAGGTGGTTTAGCGGTGCTAGGTTGGCAGTGGTCGAGGAAATAGCGACATCAAATATAATAGCACTCGTGATTAACGGCGCTATTTACCGTGATTTAACGCTAGTGCAATTAGCTCATTCATGACCTTTACAAACTTTATTACTATGTTGCTTGTGTGGGACTTGATTTGTTTTTACCTTACTTTTATATGTATTAGACATATTTACATATATAATGTATTATTAATTTTCTTATTTCATTGTGTATATATAAATATTTGTATGTATTATATGAACCTAACTATTTTACCACTATACAACCGCTTTACCAACGTGATAATCGCTATATATTAAATCACTGTCCTGACCATGATTTCAGAAAATGGCTGCGTTAACTGCTGATTATATCATTACTTTGTAAATAGAGGAGATCGTTTTGCAATGTACCTTAAAAGCAGTCTTCTAAGAAACGGATCGCCTAAAACTTGAGCCCAGACAGGATGAAGCTTGTCTGAAGATGCCAACGTCTCTCCCCAGAGATTTAAAGACAAGCAAATATTCTTCTCAGCCTCATTGAGCTTATCCTGGACATACAAACTCTATTTTAGCCAACTATCATGCTAAAGCACTTGCAAGTAACAAAGTCACAATGGGTAATTATGACCAGAGACACAAACCATCTGAATGTCAGAGCCAGAAAAGCCAAGTAAAGCAAGAAAAGCCTGCAATGGTGTGGTCAGAAAGTTCGTGAACAGGCTTCCACTCGGTTGGCGAGGATCTACGGCTCCATTTGAAGAACTTGGAGAAAGGAGCATTGCAACTGGCTCTCCTTTTACTTCCCTATTTAATGCCTGTCCATAGATACATAATTATATATAGAATAAGTCCATGCACTAAAGTAGTATCTTTACAAACATAAAAAATACATACCTCTGTCCCAGAATAAAGCCAACACGTTACTACATGACAATCTAATAAATGTGTTTTAACTGTAGTCAAATATCAAAAGTACCCTCAATAATGACGAGATAGAGGTATATTATGAACCAAAACTAATGCCATCAATATTTTGTGATGATTCTAATAGGTAAACTAATGTCATTGCACCATGTCAAGAAGTCCTTAAAAATTCACAAGATCAATTCTAAATCTAACAAATTCTTTGATCATCCATCATAATCCCCTTGTAGCAAGTGACTACAGGTGAAGAAATTTTATCTACTCAATTAAAATACATTTCTTAGAGTCTACACAGTGGGCAACTGATTTTCCATCAGATTTTCATATCTACATATAAATATCTTAAAATAATACATATGAACTTGTGAATGCATAGTTTTATTAGTTAAAAATACTTACCTCAAATGTATGGCTGTTGCCACTGTCAATTACAAGGAAAAGTGGCTTTCTGGTAAATGGAAGAAAGTCGCAAGGATAAATCAGATTCAAACCTGAAATCAAGATCATTTGTTAAGCAGGCACCTCTTAGTACTACAAAATCATGATCCTAACAAGTAACTCTAGGAAATAATGCAGCAATTCTATAACAGGGAAATCGGATCCCATTGGGATTTGGAACAGATAGCAAACTTTTTTATGATGCTAGAAGTTAGAACTGAAATTGCTAATGAGAATAAATAGCATTGTCAGAAGACAATAGCAACAAAAGGTAGATACCAATGTATTCCTGGACCAGGTTTCAGATCTCACTACAACAAAATAGCAACTATATCCTAATATCAAATAGAGATTATGTATGTTCATGAACCCCACTTGTAGCAGGTCGAGGACAGAGATTTTGGGTTCAGTGCAATTGAGAATGCATAGTACATTCCACTGCATGATTGAATAAGCAAAACTACCACTTTGAGCTTGACGTCCACCACTGTGAATTTAAGTAGTCCAAAAAGATAGCCAACAATGAAAGAAAGCAAGATAGAAAAGGTTTGATTGATCCACTAAATGCATTTGAGAAGGTTTTATCACTAGAATTTCCTTTAATGTGATCTAAGCACAGGTAGCAAATAACATACAGAAAAGAGATGGAACCAGAGATTGTAAGAAATAGATGAGAGTGAGACAAGCAGCAAGTGTGAAGAAGGGAAGAAAATGGAGTGTGCAATCAATCCTGAAAATGATGTTATGGGGATGTCAAAATCAAAGTCACCCAAAGCCAATCATCAATCTGTAATTGCCACAGCTTTTCAATCAGTAAGAGTACCTCCATTTCCTTTCACACCAAGATTTACGCCTCCAGAATGGTAACCCGGGCAGTTCGGAATATTTTCCTCTGATGAAGTGGTTATGTCATCACAAGCAGATGAAGATGGCGAAGTAGAGGCAGCATTGGAGTGCATCGTATTAGGCTGTACGCTATTGCCAACGTACTCTGTATTGGCAAGAAAATTTTACTTAATGGATGAAGATGAAGAAGCATGTTCACTGCTTCCTATAAAACTTAAAGGTTGCAGACATGAACTAATTGACAAAATAAAAAGGCAAAAAATGTGTGCAATAAAAATGTCACCTGGAGCAGATATATAGAGTAGGAGAACTCCATCAGGAGGAAGCTCCTCACACACAGTGGCCAGAACCTGCCATCAAGCAGACAACAAATTCCATGCCTTACAAATAGTTTTCCAACTTCAAACTCCTATATTGACCTCATCTAGGACAATTTGGGTACTACAAGAATGATGTTACGTTGCAACCAACCTGCATATCCTTTTGCCCCTAACATGTTCAGGACTTGAAAGATGGTAAAATTTTGTGCTTGCACTATACATAAGCAAACATATTGTTCTAAAGCCTGGAACTTTTCAGGTGGGGCCCAACTCTTGTTGATAACTAAATTAATTAAGGTTAGGGGAAGGGGGCCTGTAAAGAATTCTGAAAGCACAATTAAGCTAGTATTTGCAATTTGGACCTTATTGAATTTGTATGTATTATAGTTTAGACTTGGGGAGCAAAGGGTACACAGACGAATGGTGTTCAGACTTTAAGGTATTTAGGCCCAATGATTCAGGAAAAAATTGACATTAGTACGTTACACACCACATAAATGCAGGATGGTTAAAGTGGAAGGTTGTCAAGGGAGTGTTATGTGACAAGAAGGTCCCTCTAAGACTGAAGGGCACGTTCTAAGGGTTGTCATTAGACCAGTTTTATTGTATATGAGTGCTAGCCGATAAAGAAGGTACATGAGACTGAGAGAAAGTTGGAGGTTGCAGAAAATAAGGATGCTGAGATGGACATGTGGTTAGACCATCTTGGGCAGGATACCAAACAGGTTTTCCGAAAAAGTTTGGGGTTGTGCCTATCATGGATAAAATGAGAGAAGATTACAGTGGTTTGGCACGTTAGGGGAGACGGATGATGGCTCTAGTGAGAAGGGTGGAGAGCTTAACGGTTGAGGGGGTAAGGAGGAGGGGCAGGCCGAGGAGGACGTAGGATGAGCAGCTTAGGATGGACGTGACTGCCTTAGATATGACCTCTTATAGGAGTTCATAGCAAGGATTAGAATAGCAGATTCTTTACAAATATAGATGTGGTGAGAGATAGAGAACCGACAAAAAGGATAGCAAGGTCCTGGCGTGTTTGGTGTAAGGGATCTGGTCTTAGTACCTTGTTTCACAAGGTTTCGTGTTTTAGTATTTTTTTCCTTCTCCAATACGGTCTTACTTGCTAATGTTATTGTTTACTGTCCTTGATGTCTGATTGTACATACTCTTTTCTAGTACTTTTCTCCTATGCTTTATGCTATCCAGTGTCTTGTCAAAATCTTTGCAGTGTTCAAAAAAAAAAACTTCTTGACAAAACTTGTCTCTATAACACTTGTTTGCAAGTTGGAGGTCTTCAGTCTCTCTACCTCTTGGGATAAACCGGGATAGATGAAAGATTTATGAACATCCTAACCGATAATTCTTTCGAGTGGGATATATTGGGTACGTTTGGTTTGGTTTATTTATATTATTAGCTATTTTATTTTACTTCCTTGATCGCACCTTTTAATGGTTTCCACAGATTTTCAGGGTTTTTTCAAAAATTGGCCAAATTCACAAGTTTAAATGAAATTTGGAGCAATAAAGCTGCACAGAAGCATAAACCCACAGTAAGCATATGGCAAGTGTGCTACATGCATCTTATTGTATACACTGGAATTGAGAGCCGACCAGATCTGTTGGTGCTAAGGGTTGGTGGGAAAATGACCACCACAGGGAATACGGTGAATTGAAGGATATTGATTGATATGGGTATGGTGGGAAACATTTTACTGCACTGTATATGGTGAATCCGATTTAAAAACAGAGAGTGCATTTACTCATTCAGTGATTCACATCCTGGTCAACTTATGATGTCCATTTACACACATTCACATGGATGTTTCATGCAGCTGCTAGATTCCTTGGTGATTTCCTTTCTTATCGACCATGAACTTTTTTTAAAGGGAATCTGATTGCCTTCCTTGTCGAATACAAACTCGTTCAAACTTCAAACGGAATCTTAATGACAAAAAGGACCTAATACCTCATCTCTAATCACACTTCTACACACTTTGGATCACCCTCAACAGTTGTCTTCTAAGCATTCTCATAAGCTCAACCTCCAAACCTTCACAGTTAAGATTTTCAAAGAACTTGATGTTTTCTTCCATGCTACTGCAGCACATGACATGATGATGAGGACCTAAGACTCTAAGAGTACAGTTGCTCTCAGGAATGGATGCATATGTCTAGCATACTAGTTTACGGCAGTTTATTTGCAAAGCAGAAGAAGACACACAAGTGGGTTCAAAGCAGCAAGGTAATAATTCCGTTGTTCATTTCAAACCCTAATAATATTGTTCCATGCACTCTATAACATTTTCCTAATTTTCTTCAATCAGAGTCCAGCTCTTTTTCACATTATAGTATTATTCAAAATGAACTTTGAAACAACCATGTTCCCTGTGGAGACAATCTCGCTTACCCTTACCTGTTCAAGTTGGTTTAATTAATTGTGGTGGACTTGTCAAATTTTACTTGGCCCCTTATAGTATTATAACAAATTCGAAGATTTGTAGAAAGTTTGGATTTCATGTGTTGCTAATTTTACTTGGCCCCTTATAGTATTATAACAAATTCAAAGATTTGTAGAAAGTTTGGATTTCATGTGTCGCTTATATAGACCTACAGTGAGAGCATCTCACAGCCAATATCAGGGACAGGCAACCTAAAAGCCATTCCAAATCTTGTAAAATCCGAGATGTTTAGCTCACTGCCCATCAACCATTACTCATAGAAGCCCAAACATCCTCAACTAGAAACCATATATTAACAGTAAAAAAGAAACCATTCCTAGATTACTCACAGCTAAAAAATGAGTGATGAATGGACGATATAAAACAGCTTTGCGTGGATTTGGTGGCAAAGTAGGGTCAGAAATCTCCTGAGAATAATTGATACGACTGGAGCCTGAAAGGCCCCCATTTTGACCACTGGTCCCAGTAACGGTAGGTGCAATTGCACTTGATTTGTAGAATGAGCCACTGGGTTCCCACTCCAAACATTGAAGCATTCTGAAGTTGTCAAGAGTGAGCTCAGAGAACTTGACCTAATAAAAAAATTCAGAGCATAAGAAAAGTCAAAATGCAGAGAAGATAGATTGTGTAACGGAAAATGTTTTTTTTAAGTTTTCACTTACAATAAAAGGGGAATAAAGGGTCAGCAGTACTTCTTTAAACAAACTTTCAACAAAAACCTCTCAAATCATGCACGAAATAGTTGTACAATGTGAAACATTGGGCTTTAAAACATGTGCACTAAGTGGTCGCTACTGAAAATTTGTTAGCTGATCACTTGCCATTGTTTTCACAAATGCAAATTTCTTGTTGCTACTGCACATAGAAGTAAATGATGTCTTAACCTCATTAGGATGGTAGCTGCAAAGTATGGCATCCCCCAGTTTTAGCTTTCTTTTGACGTTGGCAACAGGTGGTAGACTATCAGGATGGAGATCTAACGTGAGGCTATACCTTAGAGGCCTGATATTCATAAAAGCTGTGTCCGCCTTGAGAAATTTAGTTATTTCCTGAATCACTAGCTTCCATTCTTTGAAGTCAGTGTCCTGAAACAATATAACCAGAAAGTCATGCCATCTATACAGATAAGGAAGATGCATCTCCATCCCACAGCAATACCGTACTGATGTTGCATGAATCAGAGGTGACAGGAAGGCACGAATTAAAACACAGAAAATATTTTACTGATTATGCTCCATGAAGGACGAGAAGTATAATAAGTTCACACAGGTACATAATCCGGCATCACAAATTTTGAGGATAGATTCCATTTCGACTGAAATGTATTTATTGACTGCTATAGTCGGCACTTTTACCATATATCTCGTAAACAACACCAATAAACTGCTGTCCATCTATGACAATGATTCATTATTGCTAAAATGAATTTGCATTATACAATAATCAATAGGTATTCATTAGGAGTGATGAACAAAAAGGAACAAGGGGCACCAAAAATGCAGTTATGAAGACAAGATATCCCCACTATGCCAATACGAAAAAATATATAATACCTGGAAAGTCCTCTTGCAGTCAGCAACTAACAATTTGAGCTGATTTACCAACTGATAAACCATTTCTCGTCGGTTCAATACCAGACACACTGTCAGGAATCTTGCAAAGAACCTCAACTGTTTGTTGGCAAGATTTAAATCCTGTAATAGTCCATCCTTAAAGTACTCCCTAGTCAAGACTGCTTCATAGAATATATATGACTCGGACAAATAACTTGCTTCACTTGTTCTCATGTACTGCCCAAAATAAAGTTGCCCTATTCGGGAAGCAATATCACCTATTTCCCATCTCTTAAGCCCTGCTTCCACAAGCTTGTGTCGATTCTCTTGTTGAAATTTCCATAATTGTGTATAAACTTTGAATACCTTATAGAAATATGTATCGTACCTGAAGCAAAACCCCATTTGTTATGTATTTAGAGCCATTAAAATATGCAAACTACCAATTATAGGTATATTGCTATTGCAATGACGGAAGAACTATAAGAAGTTTGCGGTTCTAGAGCAATGACCACAATGTCTTTGTTATTAATCATCATTTTTATTGCCTTGTTACCAAACCAAACAAACCCAGTATATCCTACACAAACATAGGGCCTGGGGGTAAGAATATACACACACCTTACCTCTACCCCAGAGGGTAGAGAGGTTGTTTCCTTGAAGACCCCCATAAAAGTTTTATTATCCAAATTATGTTCTCTTTCTTTACACTTAAGGAGTGTTAAAATGCATTAATGCAAGGTTATGTTTTAGATTATCACATTGGATAACTAAATAACCGGAAATTCCTCCGAGTATACATAACACTTGAAATACATAACCAATTCATTTCTTGATGATGGCAAAGTGTATCAACATATCTTGGTATATTAAAAAGCTAGAAGAAATGCATGAATCCATATCAAAGATATACTACATCTTCCTACTATGTTTGGTTGGAAAAATGGTTCCTAAATCCGGTCATTACTATCAAAGCTATTGGACATCAACGGTATTTGAGTACTTCTTTATTGAAATTTGTAATTCCATTCACTCAGAATCAGTGCCCACTTTCGAGAAACGGGTTTTGTTAAAATTTATAATTTGGTTTTCACTTTCTAATTTACTTTTGTTTAGTTTCCTAAAATGTTTGTGTATGAATGCAAACCTAATCTTAATGAAACACACCGTCTCCGTCTGGCCTCTGTTGGAGGGGGCGTGTTAAGATTCTATTTTCTCGCCTTTTCAGAGCAATCCATAGACTTTTTTGTACTCAACATAATGCTCGTATTAAGATATTTCGCTATAATAATGGTCAATTTGTAAATCATTTGTTTCATGAGTTTTTGTAGCACCAAGGCATAATACATCAAATTTTGTGCCCACAAACTTGGGGTGTCTCAACAGAAAAACGTCAACTTTGGAATATGGCTCATTGTTTTCTTACTTGGTGTAAACATGCTTAAAGAGATGTCTGTTTGTGGCTTAATAGACTAAACAAGTCGTATGGCTTATTCACTAAGCCATGTAGACTTGTTCAGTTGTGGCTTAATTGATCATCTAAGAACTTAATCAGTAAGCCAAATTAGATTGTTATTTACATTTAGCTCTATTTCTTCCACATTTGCCCTTCTTATTATATCTCCTATTTTGTTTCCAGCCTCCCTCAAAAATAAAACCCATCGCAGTTCTCCCATTATATATCTCTTCTACTACCTATTTCCACCATCGCCCGGTCTTCCATTGTCGTTGCCCTCTTCCAACTTTTGGGGAATGAAGCAGTTGAAGCTTCTCATCTTGGTTGGGCTATACGTCAATCGGCTTGAAAAATGCTAAGATGAACCAGAGAAACGTTGCCATTCATGAACTTCTGCACCACTAAAGCATATAAAAAATCTCCTGAAGAGTCTTCCTCCTTTCATTAATGCTCACCTCAGCAATTCTCATGGGACTATTTAGGATCAATTCACCAATCAAATTTGTGATTTTCTTTAATGTTTCTAGTTACCTAATATCCCATCGTTTGCCAAGAACATATTCATGATTTTCTTTGGTGATTCCTTTGGTTACGGCTCTTGTGCTTCAAGTCTTTTGGTGATTCCATTAGTTATGGCTCTTGATGTTTGTTTTATCATTCTTTTCTAAGCTTTTTCATATTATGTAGCTAGTGTTTCTTCATATTGCACTCATTAAGAAGGGTATCTAGTAAAGAAGCAGAACAATGGGTTTGGTCTAAAATATCACCAAAGTGATAGGTTAAACATGGATTTGGTTAACACACAAGGTGTTTGATGGAATATTGCAAAGAGATATGGATTGTATTTGGATTTAATGGGGGGAAAACAAAAAACCAAAATAAAAAGAATAAAATGATAATTTGTATCATTCAAATAATTTATTCAGCACAACAACCGAACAACAATTTATCCTAATCCATGCAGACAACTAAATCTCGACAGACAACTTAATCCATACAGGGGTTAATGAAAAATCGACCAAACAGTCCCTAAGCATCTTCAGGGAGAAATTGTTTTATGTGCTTCTCATCTAATCAATGGTCTTCCGTCAATCCCTCTTCAAAGTCAAGTCCCACTTGAGGTCCTTATAACTATGTTCTTGTTCCATCTTTTAGTACTCTTACTACTCGTGTTTTTAGTTGTGTTGCTATTGTTCACTTATATAAGAGTCACAAGTCAAAGTTGGATGCTATAGCACTTAAAAAGTTTTATATGACCACGATGTTACATTCAGTGATCATGTATGTTTTTTCCCTTCCCTATAACTACTTGCCAAGGTGAGAAGTCTTTTTATTATGAAGATTAGTTTAGTGGGAAGATGTGAGACCTCAATATGAGGTCTCAAGACAGGATGATTTTAGACTCGAGCAAAAACATGCCATGCCGGTTATTGTGATAACAAGGCTGCAATTGAAACTAGAGATGGCCAAATGGGCCCGGCTCGGCCCGGGACCGGGACCGACTTGGGACCGGCCTGGCACGGGACCGATTGGGACCGGTTTGGGACCACCGGTTACGGTTTTCGTCAAAAAGACAAGGCCCAACCCGGCCCAGGAGCGGTTTGGGACCGGTTATGGGCCCAGCCTGGGACCAGCCCGATTTTTTCCAAAAAATGTAATTTTATTTTTAAATGTATTGCTAACTTTCTAAGTGTATTTGATTGAAAACCAATTACAAAATTATAATAAAACATGCTTTCTAAGTGTATCTAATTGTCCCATATAATCTTTATTCACTATATATGTGTCATATGGTGTATGGGGAAAGATACCAACTCATAAACGCTCACAATTCTCGCAAAAAACGTATTTTTTAAGTATATTTAATTGACCCAGTTACATATTTTCAAGTGTATTAGCATAAAACTTTTGTATCTTTAAAAATAACTTCAAAAAAATTACGTAAAAAAAGAATTTTAATCTTTTTTTTACATAGGACCGGTCTGGGCGTGGCTCGGGACCGGTTCTCATAACCGGGCCTTAGTATTTGGGTGGGGACCGGTTACACCAGGACCTTTACGAGATCACTATTTTGGGACTGGGACCGATTTGGGCCCATCCCGGCCCGGGACCGGTTTCTGGCCATGTCTGATTAAAACTACTAACCATCTTGTACGAAGCATGTGGAGATAGATCGGCATTTTATAAAGGAGAAGTTGGATGAACTAGTCATTGCTAAAGAGATGGAAGATATTCTTACGAACTCTCACAAGAAAAGTCTGGTGACTCACTTGATAAGTTGGGCATCTGTGATATCTATTCCCCAGCATGACTGCATGAGGGGAGTGTTAAAATGGATAATTTGCTCACATTCTAGCTTACTTTTGTTTAGTTTCATAAAATGTTTGTATATGAATGTAAACCTAATCTCAATGAAACATACAAAGAATTATTCAAGAGTCGTCTCTAACCGGTATTTGAGTAACTCCGTATAAAATGAATTAAGTTAAGCACATTCAAAGAATCGAAGGTAACAATAACTATATAAAAATATACACAATCTACTACCACGAACACCAAGCCCACAAACCTGGCACACTTTGGCCTAACAAGAGTGAAAGAACACCATTTGTCAATGAAGTATAGAATTCATATGAAATTTCAACCCAAACAATCAGCAAATTCAAGGATTCAGTTACATGTTATCCTAGCAATCCGGTCTGCAAACATTTCACATACAAACTGAGTACGCTACTTATCCCTTTGTCTCACAATTAGAAATAAATTTTAACATTTTGACCTGATATCTGGAACCATTTAGAATTCAAAATCTATATCTGAGTATTCTAATTTGGCATTTTTCATAACCTCAGCTGTACGTGTACGAAATTGGCAGGCTGGCAAAGTCTACTTCCACTATCATGAAAGCTGTTTGATTGTATACCATGGACATGAGTAAGTGACGAATCATCCCCTTGATCATTTTAGCATAATGTGATATTAAACGTATAAATATCCAACATACTATTCCCAAATAATAACCAGAGAATCGGAACATAGCACTAACTTTAAAGCAACAGAGCATGATTAAAACCAAATTATCCGAACTCTTGATCATATTTACATGAATACAAATTAAATGCAAGAGACGGAAAGAAATTGACCTGTTGCGCTCGTAATAGGGCAAATCCCTAATTTTGGAGAACTTCTTGTCGGCTTTAGCTACAAGAGACCAATAGACTTCACTCACCGGTACATTTCCGTTACTAGGATTGCTCTGTGACATTTTCTTTTCTTCTAATTCCTACTACCACCCGCAACTTCTTTGCATCAACATATGATTGATTTATGCTAATTTCTCTACGAATATTGGGTGTGTTTCATCAGAGGATCACTTAGGGCTGCGCGTGAGAGAATAATCTCATGAAGTTGATGATTGGAGAGGTCCGAAGCTTACACAACTTGAGATTTGGGGGGTTTTCCGGAGTCCGACAAAACCCATATCCCTTTGTCTTTGTGTGATTAAGCGGTGTTTGGGAAAAACTTATTATTTTTATACAAAAGCATTTAACTTATTATAATTTTCAAAAACTCTTTATTATCGATTTAGCATCGATATAAGTTGTTTATTAAACACTCAAAACTGTTTATTATCAATGTTACACTGAAATAAATCAATAAATTATTTTTAAAATGACTCGTAATTTTTTATAAAAATGATTATCAATTTATCTCCTTTAAACTTCATTTTAATGTTAGGACTTTATGATGGTATGAATAAACTGATAAAATAGATGATATATTTATTGTTCATTCAAACACTAAGAACTTCTTATTATTTGTGTTATACCATAATAAGTTAATAAGTTAGAAGAGAGTAATTTATCAAAAACTTTTATTATCGATGTCAAACCGGTATAAATATTTTCTTTTTTTCACAATCCAAACATGAAAAACTCTTTATTACTAGTAATTAACCGAAATAAGTTAATAAGCTATTTAAATACACAATCCCAAACACTCTCTAATAAAAGAGTATATTACATCTTTAGTCCTTGTGGTTTCACAAAAATTTCAAAAAAGTCCACTAACCCTATAAATTACGATTAAGGTGCTCGTGGTTTCATTCTCGTTAGCGATCTTGTCTCTTGCCCTAACTTTGTTGAGTTTGTTAGACAGGGAAATATTAGTCATTTTTACTCTTATTTGTATTAAGCAGAAAACCTACCCTCCTTCTTGGCTTCATTGTCCATCCTCACCTCTCCCCCCACTCTAGCAAGTCTCATCGTCCCCCTCCAAACCACTCTGGCACTCTTCAGCATCTTCCTTCCGTCACTCCAACACCCCTCCCCCTAAACTTATGGCTGCACAAAAACCTGAACAACCCGTCAACCCAACTCAACATGATGTCTAATCAAGTTGTAAAATCTTAAAACTGTAGGTAGCGGGGTGGAATTGGGTTACGATCACTTTAACCCAACCCAACTCGATGAACCCGGTACCCTTCTTTTCCTTGGATTTAATATTATTGTTAGGTCACTTGTTAAATTGATAATGAATGAAAGAATTATGAGTAAAAAAACACCATATTCAAGGTAACAAATATACGAGAATATTTTGATACACTAAAGTTTCAACCCGACCAACCTGAATAACCTAACTTAACTCGCATGATTTGGGTTGGGTGGTGTTTGGATGAAAAATCCATAATATCGACCAACTCCAAGACCATGATATCCTTGACATACGATCATACATAACCACGACAACTGATTTTTCTGACAAGATCCTTCCTCAAACAAACAAGTTCATATCGATCTCTCATCCTATGATAGCATGTATGTGAAAATAATAAATGCTCTTGAATCTAAGGAAAAAGCTGAAAAGAAAGTGAAGAAATTGAATGTTGAGTAGTTTGAGTTTCTTGAGAAACTCAAAGAGTTTGACAAAACAAATCCAACATGAGGTGAAAGATCTTAAAATCATTTGCAAATACATTAACAATGAAAAACGTTTTCTTCTACAAGATCCTCCAAAAGAAAAGTCCACCATAAAAATTGGAATCAAGCCTCTCTAGATCATGTGAGAATTCTAAACTACCAGATTCCAAATACATGGTTTAGGTTTCTCTTTCTCTTCTGCATCTAAAGACTCTAACCTAGTTTCAAATGAGTTTACTTTTTCTGGAAGATCCTCTTATTATCAACATCACTCTTGTGATTCTTCAAAAAGTCTAAGAATAAATATGGTTTTGTTCATGCCTTTAGTCAGAAACGAAGTGATCTTGTATCAGAAGAATATGTGTGTGAATCCATTGGATCTTCCTCTCTTCCCACTCAAGAACATATTTTCAAAAAGAACAAAAAATTTAATCACTCTCCTTCATTCCAAAAAGGAAAAACGAAAAAAAAGCATTCTTGGACCAAAACCATCTACAGTTCCTTCATCTCATCTTCCAAAAAGAAATCCTCAATTTCAAAAGTTTCAACGAAAAGTCAACAAGTTGGAAAGATCTATTCTGGCAAGTGCTTTAACTGCAGAAATATCTCTCACTCTTAAAAAAAATTTCCTCATGATAACTTGGAAGATCTCTCTAGAAACTTTTCAAAGTCAAGAGAACCTATCAAAATATGGGTACCAAGGAATAATTTTCTTAAGATGCAAGAACCATGTCATTCATTAAGTTTCTCTCCTATGACTGGTTGTTTTTCCCAGCTGAAAATCTGTCATAAAAAGGTTATTTCCTCTTTTTCAAAAGCTGTTTTTTTTTCAAAGTCCTTTTTAGTTCTTCAGATTTGTCTCTCACATGCAATGACTCTTAGTCACCTTCCAACAGCTCTTTATCGTATCAGATCCCTCACTTTGGATTCATCTTTCTCTTATTCAATATTCCTCTATCCTACTGGATTCCTTATTACTCCTTTAGATTTGTTTCTCCCATATATATTAAAATCCAAAGCCTCTTAACCTTCATCTGATAATTCTTTACCTATTAGATACTAAACTGATCAGATGGACTCTTCTATCATACAATGATTTTCCATCTCTCAGGTTCTATACTATAAATCTTTTTAACCTCCCACTTCAAATTTCTCAATTATTGAATTTGTCAGATTCAAGTATCTGATGAGATCTTTTCTATAAGAAATTTCAAAAAGTTTAATTTTATTTCTTTTAATTATGACAACTGTCATATCAATCACTGGGAATTAGTTTTGAAATAAAACTGTCTTTTCAACCGCCATGATCAATCTAATATTCCTCAACCCCATAATTATCTTTCTCTCTCTCTTTTCAAATATAAATACCCTAAAACTCCCATTATTGATTATTCCCTCACCTGTTCTAAAACCCTAAACCATCTTCTTCGACCTTCTCTCAAGAATCCTTGCACCAAAACCTTCAATGGCTCCCAAAGTTACTGGATCTTCCCTCACCTTTGAAGATGTGAAATTTTCCCCTTCCAACTTTATAGGTTACTTAGACAAACATGATGCACATTCCGATTATCATAACATGGTTGATTTCTTGGCCAAGAGTCCTTTCAAAAATGCTCTTACAGTCTTTCTTTCACCATCACAAATGAGCATGTTTCTCATCGGCAACTTCTGGTGCTTATGTGTTCACTTAAAGGAAGATGATTCGATCATCGCCTCTGTCCTTACAAACAAGGATGCGATCATTACTGCTGATGATGTTGCTAAGGTTCTTCAGCTTTCTTCATCCTTGTCCAATGTGTATGAGGAACTGTATTCAGACGAAGATCTTGACGAAGTTCTTCAAATTTTGGAATATCGATAAAAAGACAAGGATGTGAAAGCCGCTGGAACCATTCTTCTCAAGAACATGTCAGGAATATGGCATTATTTTTTCACTTATTTAATTCAATGTCTTAGCTTCAAAGTTAGTGGCTATGATCAATCTCCTAGCAACGTCACACGCTGGCTCATGTTCTTATTTTTCAAAAGAACATCAATTTTGGAAAATACTTCGTTGACAAAGCAGTGAGAAAAATCACCTTAAGGAGCAAGAAGAAATCTCATGTTCCATTTGTTCGTTTCTTGGCTCTTCTTATTGGCGAAAAACATGGAGATAAAATTTCAAGTCACTCTGACAAAACAACATTGGAGATCAATCATATCACCTCCAACATCTTCTAAAAAAAGACTCTTCCATTGGAACCTCCGATGCCTACATGTATGATTTCTTTTGCCCAATCTCCTAGACCAATTTGGGACTCTCCTTTGGATAAAGAAGCAACTAGGTAATTTTTAATGGCCAAAATTGCCTCCTTATTCGAAAGGAGGACCAAAATAGTCTACTCTCTATCACTTTCTTCAAGGCTAACCAAGAAAAGTAAGAAATCTGATGCAAGCACTAAAGATGTATCAAATTCTCATATAACTTCCTCAGTAGCTACTTTTGTACATACTTCAATAGAGGCTATGGTTTCAAATTAATCTCTGAAATATACTCAAGTCTCTACACTTTCCAAACAAAAATGGAAGTCATAGTCCTTAGCCAAGCTGGGATCTTCAAAGAAGATTCAGTTATCCCAAAGTACTAAAACCATATCACTATCCAAAGACTCCCAAAAGTCTGAATATTGAAATTCGTCAATCCAAATCATTGACATCTGATCACCCAACCAGCTCCTCAGTACCCTCCCAAAAGGATACTATTGTACATACATGAGAACTCATCACTTCCACCACTGCATCCTTGTTGGCTAGTGGTGTGAATACAGATCCACCCCAGGTCCAAAGCACCTTGATCACTACATCAATAACATCATCATCACATATACCAAAAACACAATCTGATGAACCTATAGATTCATCTATGGGGAGATAATTTTTATCTAACGGCTCTCTTGCAAGCTACCCATGGTTCACAGGGTCCCATGGCAACCAATGATATTGGTATACGTACTCAATCAACCAGTATCTCACCAGCTACATCTCCAGATATCATTGCATTATCCTCTTCTTCATTTAAAGAGAAGAATCAAATGTATGTGAACCCCCTTCGAAAAGTATGCCTTTGTTTCGAGAAGCTCAGATTATAGTCAACAACATTCCTCCTCTTCAGATCACAACAAGATCACAACTTATTTTATCTTCAACTGTTGTTATAACCCAAATCTGATACACCGATAGACCTCAACCATAGGTTACAAATCACCTAGGATGTGATCATGTGCATTAGATTTGGACTCTCCATGCTCTACCTGCTTACGTTATTGAGCAATTGTGTGACTTTAATCTTCATAACCTACTAAATGCTTCTCAATTAACTTCTCTCAGTCAAACCCTCCTAAATCAAAAATAGTTGTTAGATGAACGATGCAAACAATCAAAAGTGGCTCTGAAGAAACAGGTTGAGGCACACCAAGCATACATAGATGAAGTATTAGTATAATTACAACTCTTGAGAAGTCACAAACCAAACTCCAGCCTTTGTAAATGAGGATGTAAAGCTTCAAAAGAGTTTAAGCATTTCTCTGGGTTTGGCTTATGATCTCTTGATACTATCAAATCCCAGCTCAATTCTCATCAATCTGATTTAAATAGCTCAAAACCTGGGTACCTCCATCGGATTTGCTGTTAGAGAAATGGAAAAGCGTCCACAAAATCCGATACTAATAACATCCAGGATTCGCTTCATGATTTGCATGCAAAGATGGATAAGCAATCTGAGGTAAGCCAACTCATCCTTTAAAACCTTAATCAACAATTTTCAGGGACAAGATCCAACTCCTCATTTTTTTGCCAAGGACAGATAATTGTTGTACATCACAAAACGACTCCCCAAAAAGCTTGGGATGTTATTTAATAACGTCATTTTATAGTCGAAGTCTTTGCTTGATCCAAATCGTAGTGCTAGTAAGGGAAGAATGTCCGTTAATCCACTAGCATAAGATCAGATAAAGATGATATCTCATATGCACTATCGAATGAAGACTCAGACTCTTCCAGTAAATATTTTCTTGATGTTATTCAAGAAGATGATCATGTTGATCCAGAGGAAGAAGCTTTTATTGAGGGGGGGATAAATCTCTTCCATTGAGGGGGACAAATCTCAAGAAAATCAAGATTGAAGAAACTTAGTTGAGGGGGAGAATTTTGATCGGATTATTCAAAAATTCGAAGTTGCTGTTATTCAAGCTCTGGATGTTGCCACCATTCCATAATCTAATCAAGCGCCTCAAGAATGTGATACAGTTAAAACTATAGAGAAATTTTCGACAACTTTATCGGATACGACTACAGTTCCATCATATTATGCTTTCTTACTACTAGAACCTCCCTTGCATGTCAAAACTATTACCTCTACAATAATTGTAGATAAAAGAAAAGGAATTATGACACTTGAAGAAGAGGAATAATCAAGAAAGAAAAAGAAAGTTGAAAGTCTTCAAAGATATGTTGGCTCAAACATTCTTCGTAAGCCTCCTCCTCCTCCTCCTTAGTCCAATATGAAGAATGTTGATCGCTTTGAAGAAGATTTGGCTGCAGCCAAAGCTCTTCAAGTTGAAAGAGATGAAAAGATTGAGAAGTTCAAGAAAACCTTCTCTAAAAGAAGTCAAAAAGTAAAAATCATTAGTGCTACAATCATCTGATGAAAAAAAGAGTGGATACAAAGACCATCTAGTAAAGATAAGATTGATTCATGATGATTTCTCCTGATAAATAATAAATAACATGTGTTGGTGTAACTTGAAGTAAGAACTTACTGTACTACATTCTAGAGAGAGAAACATGTATTGAGAGAATTTATCAATATACATAATGATTTGATCTCTAGATTGTTGTTCTTGATTGTTGAATTACATAGTTACTTGATCATTCTGGGATTATCAGATTCCCTCTTCAAGTATTTAAAAGAGTGGAATATTGAGACGAAGGTTGCTACTTTGACGGTTGACAATGCTACAACTAATGATGTGGTAGCTACAAAGTTGATGGAAATTATGAACTTTCAGAAAAAGCTTGTTGTTGGGGGGAAGTTATTCCATGTGCGGTGTTGTGCACACATTCTCAATTTGTTGGTTCAAGATGGTTTGTCGAAAATAAAATACATCATTCACAATGTTAGTGCGAGTAGGGGTGCTCAAAAATCAGGTCAACACAACCAACCCAATCCAACGAGAAATAACCCAACCCAAAACAACCAGACGTCTAATTGAATTGTAAAATCTTCAGACATAGGTATTGGGTTGAAATTGGGTTATGATCATTTGAACCCAACCCAACCTAATGAACCCGATATTCTTTTATTTATTGGATTTAATATGATTATTACGAACCTATTAATATGTACATTAGACAATTACACCATCACGTAGCCTCTTCATATATATATATATATATATATATATATATATATATATTTTTTAATCTCTTCTCCATCTTCTATATAATTCCTTCGCATATATGCTCACAAAATATGAACATATATATACACACACATATTGAGAAAAGTAGGTGAACATGATATAATTACTTTTTAAGGAGTATGGATAAGTTATTGATGATAAAAAAGGAATTATGAGTAGAGAAAACAACATATTCAGGGTCAGGAGAAGCAATTATCCTTATCAAATAAGCATTTGTCTTCGATGTTAGTACTCTGCAGGATGCTACATATGCTATGTTGTCTAGGACTTTGGACATTAAAGAAGCGTTTGTTAATTTTGTCGAACGAAACATACAAGACTTTACCGACTGCATAGCATTATGAAAGTTTTGAAGGTATTTGGTCCTTCTTGGGGATTTTCAACGAGGTAACAATTCTTTTAAGGTATTATTGATTTTTTTTATGATCTTTATTACAAGTCAAATTTATTAATCTAAACACCTAATTCTCATGCACTGTTTTTTCATCTTATAGGCCTTGAGTATCCTACATCTAATTTATTTATAAGTTGTATAAGATAAAAGAATTATTGAATGATTTGACTTTGGATGAGAGTAAATACACGAGAGACATGACTCTTACGATGAAAAAGAAATTTGACAAATATTGGATACTTGTATTTTGTTGATTTTCATTTGTGTTATTTTCGATCAACAGTAACAATTGTTCCTTAAGAATCAACTTTTAGTGTTGGTGAGAGAGTTATTGATCCCCATCATTCCTCTTTAGGAACAAAAATGATAGATATGCTCATTTCTAAAGTTGATTGGTATCGTCATATTTTTTGATTAACCTGGATATCCAACTCGTTATGCGAGCCGACTAATTTCAGGGCGACTACCTGCTTTGCACGTAGCCCGGAGTCACCACATTTGAACCTCCGTGGCCACAAGGAGATTTTTGTTACTCCTTAGATTTGAACTTGAAACCTTCTGACACTTTTGACCTTTGGAGCCAAGCGGTATCGTCATTATTATGGACTACACATGAGGAAAAACATGGTAATTTTCTTAATATTTTCAATTCTAATACTTGTTTTATTACAATAATTAATAATTATTTTATTTGTGATGTAGGAAAATGATAATATGATATATGCTAATCTTCCATGATGATTGAAGATAAACGATGTTTTTCTTATGTTCACGAGCAATGAACTTAGAAGAATCATGGTGGTGAACTGTTTTTTGTTTAAACGACGATGATGATGAATAGTGATTGTTTTTTCTATTTAAACTATGGATAATTGATGTTTACTAGTAAAAGAAAATTAACATGTAATGGTGGTTGTCGTTGTTTCTTTGTGTTCATCTGTTTATATTTATTTATGTTTGTTTAAGTCTGTTTGTTCATGTTTATTTAGCATCTTAATAAACGAACATGAACACAACCAGTTTCGAAATGAACAAACATTGACACAATTTTTTTTGTTTATTTACTGTTTGTGTTTATACCTTTGTTCGGTTAAGTTGAATGAACGAACATGAACAAGCTTCCATTCGCGTTCATTCGGTTCGTTTACAGGCCCAAGTGAACTCACAAGCTAAAATACAAAATAAATTACACCATTCATTTAAATATAAAAACAAAGTAAAAAATTAGATGTAAATGACACCAGTCATTACTTACTAAGGAGCCGTTTACTAAACGCTTACCCGGTAAGTGTTTATTGAGCAATTTTTCTCATCGGATGAATATGACAAAAGCCAAGAATCTTACCTGATAAGAGCGATGATAAGAATGGAGAGTCTTACTCGGTAAGTGAGGGTGATGACTCTTACCCGGGTAAGCGTTTACCGGGTAAATTGTTGCATAGGATACCGTTTTAATATACTACAATCTTATCCGATAAAAATAAATTATAATGTTGATTCCTATCGATAAGTGCTTACCGAGTAAGCATTTGGGTAAACGGCCCCAAAATCGAATGAAATTTCGTTGATTAACATAATGATATTCTAAATTTGAAATCATATTTATAACGATACTCGAAAGTTGGATGATTTTATTGATGATTTTTAAAATCTAGTGGCTAAGTTATAATAAAGTGAAAGTATAGTACTAGTTGTGACAACATTTAACCAATTGAGGGGTTGGAAATGACATTTAACCAAAATTGATTCACCGGTCTTTCCCCCCCATTGTAACAGGATCCTCTGTAGTTCACTGATCAGCAATTGTTCAGAAAACCAAAAGACGATTTCCCTCACATTTGCTGTGTGATCATATCAAATTGATTTATCAAGATGACGGAATTCTTGGATTTGGAAACTCAGGACGCCGTGCGGATGCCGTGGAATGTGCTGCCTGGTACCAAACAAGAGGCCGCTCAATGCATCATTCCCGTTTCGGCTATCTACACACCGCTCAAACCCTTACCAAACACCACCCCTCTCCTCCCTTACACGCCTCTACGATGCCGTAATTGTCGATCTATCCTCAATCCGTTCTCAATTGTTGATTTCTCCACCAAAATATGGATCTGCTCCTTCTGCCTTCACCGGAACCACTTTCCCCACCACTACCAATCAATCACGGAGGACAATCTCCCGGCCGAGCTCTTCCCCCAGTACACCACCATCGAATACGAACTCCAGAACGAAAAACCCACGTCACTAATTACCTCTCAGGTGTTTTTATTTGTCGTGGATACTTGTATCATTGAGGAGGAAATTGGGTTTCTGAGATCGGGTCTTTCGCGGGCGATTGGGGAGATACCGGGTAATTCACTTGTGGGTTTGATTACTTTTGGGAGGTATGTTTGTGTGCATGAGTTGGGATTTTTTGGGAAAATGCCTAAGGTTTATGTGTTTAACGGGAGTAAGGAGATTAGTAAAGATCAGGTTTTGGAGCAGATAGGTTTCTTTCTGAAGAAAGCAAGATCGTCTATGACTGGTGTTCCTGGGACCAGGGACGGGCACTTGCAGGATAATGTTTCAAGGTTCTTATTGCCAGCTGCAGAGTGCGAGTTTGCTCTCAATTCGGTATATGTTTATACTTAAATGTCTAATCTTCAGACACCATATAACATGTTTATGTTGTTACGGAATCATGTTTTTGAATTAATACTGTGTTCATTGCCATGATATATATTTTTGTTCCTAATGTTTGTAAACCAAACCCCACCTCACATATACCGGGCTCGCTTGTTTGGTTTGGTTTGTAAACCAGTATCAGTTACCTTAAACAATTAAATGGTTAGTAGAGTAGCCTTTTCTTTCTTCTTTTCATTTTCTTTCTTCATTATCATTACTACAATTGCTGCTCTGGCATGCATCACATCGGCAGATTTTAGAGCACTACATTTCTTTCATAATGTTTTGGTATCATCAAATGTTTGTTTTTAATGATAAAAAATGCCTATCCTTTATATTCCCACGGTTCTAGAGTCCACCTTCTAAATTGTGAAAGTTTGAGCTATAGATTTGAGTACATTGTGTTATTTTACACTACATGGAACTACTTTTTGGAATAAAAATGTTCCACCAAGTGCATTCTAGTTTCGGAATTTTTTTGTTGGGGGAGGGGTTACAGCATAGATTCTTGGCGTCATTGTTACATTACCAAACCTGTTTTGCTGAAATGTACCTTTGATTTGAGCTTCTTAGGCTTGTTTGATAGTTAAAATTTGATATTTCATCAGGTATTGGATGAGCTTCAAAAAGATTCCTGGCCAGTTCCTGGAGATCAAAGGGCACCTAGGTGCACTGGCACTGCATTGACTGTGGCTGCTCATCTGTTGGGAGCATGTGTTCCTGGTTCTGGTGCTAGAATTATGGCATTTTTGGGTGGGCCATCCACCGAAGGGCCAGGCTGTGTGAGTTTTCTAATCTCAAGGATATTAAAATTAAAGCTTGCCACTGACTTATGTGGTGAATATTATTATTTCAAAGTAATGATTATTTAGTTGATTTCACGTTTTACACTTTATGCATCTTTCTAGTAGCTGATTGCTACACCAACCGTTGATTGTAGTAAGATATATCTCCAATGAATGTGTAGCAACCCCCTCACCCCTCGAAGAGAACAACCCAACGAAAATAAATTATTCCTATTCATATACTGTCAATGGATTCTTTAATGTTGTTATTGTAGACATTTATTGAAGAGGTCAATCTTTTGTTGCATGTGGGTTCTAAAATCTTGTTTTTCTTGTCTTCAAAATTTCAGATAGTGTCAAAAAGTTTGACTGAACCTATTCGTTCTCACAAGGATCTAGATAAAGATGCTGCTCCTTTCTTTCATAAAGCAGTTAAGTTATATGAAGGGCTCTCAAAGCAGCTCGTACATCAAGGACATGTACTTGATGTGTTTGCTTGTGCTCTTGATCAGGTGATCTTTTGCTTTGACTCCTATTCTCCACCCTGCTAATGAGTCGCACCTAAACAACTGATTACACATGTTATTTCTTCCTTGTAATATTGTGCAACTTTTTATTTTTGAGACTTATTGCCCATGACCTAAGTCGGTATTAGATCATAGGCACCTAATGCTTACTTGGTTAAGTGTGGATTAGATAATCCGGCTTCTAGAACGCTGCTGATGGTTGTCACTGATAGGGTCGTGCTATTATAACTTTTCTTTGGACATTGTGGGTGGACAAATGCATCATTTGTTGGGTCGATCACCAAAGAAATATGGAAAAGATAATAAAACTAGAAAATAGGAAAACGATAAGAAAACAAGATACATATTGTTTCCAATTAAGAGTCATCCATGCAAACTGCACATAACTTTTATATCAGCTTTAAACCCATAAACCCATAACATATGCCCTTCTCAATGCTCTTTCTCGAATGACGGTGCTATATATGCAAATGGTTGACTTCATTTTCTTTGTGGCTAATTGCTTATTAGTGGCATTGTTATGAAATGTGACCAGTTAAGGAAAATAACCCACTAATTCAGGTTTGCCTGATGAGGTATGAATATATGACATATAGAGGTTGTTGTCTTTAAACAGTACAATACCCTTTGTTATTAATTAACTGTATGAATATAATAGTGTTAAGCACATCAAACAAACGTGTCAATCGACATGCCAAAGGCGGTCACTGAAGATAATACAAGGTTATGTTTGTTGGCTAATAATCTTTATTGATGAAGATGTAACAGTCTAACAGATATAAAGAATTAGGCAATGATTAATTCAAGTGGTTGGATAGAGAACCACAAAGCGTCACCCTCAAATTTTAATACATCTATCTTCTAAAATTTAGAATTTGCCAACTGAGGAATGGTCATTGCTGTGTACTTGATTTGGTAGTTGAAGGTCATTTTGTTTCTTCAATATAATACATTGCATACTGTTTCTTGCTCTCTTGTATCTGCTTCAATTTTTATTACTTACTGTTTTTGCAATGAAGGGATCATTAATGTAATTGTTTATTCCTTCAAGGTTGGGGTAGCTGAGCTCAAAATTGCAGTTGAAAGAACTGGAGGACTAGTTGTGCTAGCAGAAAGCTTTGGCCATTCTGTTTTTAAAGATTCTCTACTATGTGTTTTTCAGTCTGGGGATAATGAGCTGGGTCTATCCTCAAAGTAAGGGTTTGGTTTGAACTCCTTCTTTCCATTTGATATTTGGTTTAGCATTATAAGTTTTTCCTAGACCTTTTGTTGTTCAGTCTATATCTATGAAGGGGGCTCTTACATCTTGCATGTAGGGATAGTCAAATGAGAGCTTTGTAGCAGCAATTGTGGGATCTCTCTACATGTTTGGTTCTGTTGAAAGTAATGCTTTGATAGAGTCATGCTGCTAACCTTGTCACTTCATCGCACACGTGTTTCCTTTAAATGTAAATGTTGCAATCCTTACTCTGCCCCACCACCATGCACCCAAGATTTGAAGGGCAACTGGCTGTGGGATGGTGATGAGCATAACTAGCACAGATATAAATCTTACTTTGAAAACAATTTATAGTTCAGAATTTCTTACAGGATTGAAAATACAATTGATTCAGAATCAGTCAATACCTTTTCGTATGATTCTTTTTGACTTTTGGGTATGTGGCATCTTTTAGTTCCAACAAGTTGGCATTTGTCTGAAAGCCAAATGGTCAAACTTCTTTTAATCAGTCTCCAGAATATCTATCATCATAGATCATTATGTTGCTCAAGGAAAAAATCCTTGATTTAGCAACTGATGAGATAATCATCTGGTGAAGTTCAACTCAAGAAAGCCTGTACTGTGAATCACAATGGTCAAGTCCAACTTAATTACTCAGCAATATGAATTGCATTCATCTATCATCCTTATCTGTTGTCAAGCCCATAATTTGATTCGATTGGTTATGTGTGTTTTCCTATACCTTTCTAGATGCATCCCCCTTTGGAACAAGTCTGCTTGACATAAAATGAGCTATACTAAAATTTAACCTTACTTACATTCCAATGTAGTTATTTTCCCGTAATCTTGTAATACTTAAAGTATCACCATGACCTTGTTCCTTATCCACTCAATTTTAATATTGACCTTCACTATATGGCCTCAAGTCCACAATTTGTATTTATGTTCCCGTACTCTTATGTGGATGTTATTGTTGATGGGCGAGTATTTTGAAAGCATAACTTAGCAGCTTAGCAGGCTCTTTTTTCTACATAATGTAGCGGCTCTTAGTGTGTTCTTTAGAACTTACCGTTACACAGGAATCCAGATTATCATTGAAGAGTGCTCTAGCCTGATCAATTACTATGATTCTATTTGCAAATTTCATACACCATGACTTCCTATTGTAATTGAAAGTCAGTGGCCATACCCCTTGGAACTAATTCTTACAGAGGTAGGATGGAAATGGTTGTGCAATTCTGTGGTAAAACTTGCTTTTAATTTTCATGAAATTTGAACTGCAAGTGAACATATATCGTAGCAGACACCAATGATGCTTCACGTTGTTACTTAAATAAATTAGTATCATGAAGTTCGTATGATAAACATAGTTGCTTTATGATTTCTCATTCGTATCATGTGGTCGTTAGATACCTAGCAACAATTATAAATTCAATTTTCTGTTTATATTTTTCTAAAAAGGCGATGAAGAAAACAGTGCTTGGCAACTCTTTTCGTTTTCAATAAATTCTGAACAGTTTATAAGACATTTTCTACACAAGACTATTTTGTTAATGGGTTTTATATCATAAACATGGCATTAATTTTTTAACTTTTAAGAAGCCTCGGTTTCAAATCTTTCAAAACACAATAGTTTTTCCTACTTTTATGTAATCAAGAGCGATTATAGAAATCAGAATACAAAACCATATCTAGAGTTTAATCTCTTTTCGCTGCTTTTGGTGATTCGTAATTGTTATTTTGCAGTTATTGCTTTTCAAATAACTGTTGATTCAGTTCTTACTTTATGCTTCAAACATCATGCAGTGGTATGTTTGAGATAACCTGTTCAAAGGATGTCAAAGTTCAGGGTGTTATTGGTCCATGTGCATCACTTGAAAAGGTCAATATGGTGCTTTGGTGAGCTAGTTTATTTGGATTTACCTCAGATGTTGACTACTTCTTGTCATTATGCAGAAAGGTCCTTTATGCTCCGATACTGCAATTGGTCAAGGCGGTACTACTGCTTGGAAGATGTGTGGGCTCGACAAATCTACTTCTTTATGCTTAATATTTGATATTTCAAAGAAGGAGATTCTGGATGTTACTGGTCAAGCAGCAAACAATCAGTTCTATTTCCAATTTTTGACTTGGTAACATTTTTTATTGCTTGATTTCTTTAAAGATTGGCTATGACCCTCTGTGGCTTGCAATGTGGAACTCTTCTGACTTGCTGTAGATAATATGCTCCAGTTATCAAAGTAGCAGTGGACAAATGAGGCTTCGAGCTACCACCTTATCCAGAAGATGGGTCACTGGGCAAGGAAGCATACAGGCAAGCTATTGGTTTTAGCCTCAGACTCAATTTCATGCTCCTGGTTCATTAAATATGCTATTTCTGAATTCAGAGCTAGTTTGACTTCATTTATGGTAATAATCTTCTCATGAGTATTTTCTTTACTTGCCACTGTAAATGCATAGGAAAGGAAGACCAAAAGACGTTTTTCAGTCCAGGAAATCTTTTCTGATGTTTACATACACCTGCACAACCTGTCAAGTTGAATGCTATTACTCCTGATCTTCTTTATCTTTACTGGGATTGCCCGATTGATATCAATCATGAAATGTTTAAATTAGGAGGGATGATATGACACATTGAACTGGCGAAATGAGTTAGTCTTTTCTCCGTTTCCTTCTATGAAAATAATAAAAAATGATATAAGAATAAGCTAAAGCACAATATTATGTGAGCCGCAATTGTTGATCACTGGTTTTATACATGGATAACAAATGCCAATAGGGAAGTTTTCATTGATGACCACTAATTTTAGTGCATATTATACCAACTATTCTGGGTGAATGTGTTATTGCTAACTTCTTTCTAAACTGTCGCTCCTTTGTTCTAGGAAACACTTTCGAAGCACTTTGTCTTTCTATTATTCCAATCTTTCACTGGCACATTATTCTATTGCATAGACTAGAACATTGAATTGTAATTCTGATTGAATTTTAATTGAAAATGGTGAAATTGCTTTTACATTATTAATAGGATTTGACTGCTGGGTTTGACCAAGAAGCAGCTGCTGTAGTCATGGCACGCCAAGTTTCTTTTAAGATGGAGACTGAGGTAACAATGATCATGTAATAGATTAATAAGGTGTAATTCCTTACAAAATCTAGATGAAGTAGCTTTTGTGATTATCTTCTCGTCTTTGTGTCTTAGTTGTGACTCAAGTGTTCTGCTTTAGCTTGATTTTATCATTTAGCTTCTTACATGCAGAAGCAAATTTAAAGATGAATGAAGAATTTTATACAGACATGTTTTGAAACTAATGGGGCAGCTCGGTGGTTGAGGGCTGAGGCTTCTCAACTTTGCATGTGTTAATGGTTACAGACTTGCACCTCTATGGGGAGAAATAATTCCATGCTTTTGAAGCAACTCTTCCATGTCAAATGAAAGATGAGTCAGTTATGGTTAGAAAATTGTGAATTTTTATTGCAGAAAAGTCAACCTCAAATGTGAAACAAAGAGTAATGAATTTGCAGAGGGTCAGAGAGAGGTCAAACTTGAATCCCAGCTTGAGAAGAAGCAGCAACACATCGTGTGAATCATTTGAGTCTATTTCTTCTTCTGAGTTCAATGAGCAAAGAAGCAAACATTAGAGAAGCACTTCCTGATTACTGCAGCTTGAACACACCAATTAAGGAAGGAGGTGCACTGTTGTGGATAAATGCAATAGTATGTAGTATGCAAATCATGTAGGAGCCCTAGTTTGCATTGCCTAAAAAGAACTACACTTTCTTCTGCAATATGATATATGAATCGACACTTTTAGGGTATTTCAGGGAAAGAGAGAGAGATTGAGAAATAGAGAGTGAATGGGGAGACAAGGATAGGAGATGAAAATGATAGAGATCTTCAAGAGAAGATTGCTCTACCTAGTTTTAATCAAGTAGTTTGGTTTTGAGGGTATAAAGCCAGCAAATGGTCGTATTGTATCTTCAGTAAATGTGAAAATCTATATATGCTTTTCAACTTAAATGCATGGCATACAACCTCCTAAAACTTTCTCTGTGACAAGTCTATTGACTTAACCTAGGGACATGATATTTTTTCTTATAGTTTTAAGATTCCTGCCTTATTAGCTAGATGTTTCTTATCATATATGACGTGTGTGCATGTCTCTAGGATATATATTTTATGGTGTCTCAAGATGACGGAGCAACTTCTTTTACTGTAGCAATGAGTTTAGTATCAAGAATGTAGTGCATAGTCCAACTAGTGATAATGATCCACCAAAAGAGCAGCATAGCTCAATGTTATTATACTTGCATGTAGAATTAAACACTATGAGTAGACCATATACTAATATCACAAGCTTGTGTAAACCAAACGTACCTAGCAAAGTAGAGTCTGAGTAGGATGTACACAACCAAGGGGTAGATAGGCTATTTCCATCAAGATCCGCAAAACCAGACCAAACAGACCTAGTAAACCCACTTGAAAGTAGGGTCTGGAGTGGGTGAGATGTGCACAGACCGGACCTCTATTCAAAAGGAGTAGAGTGGCTGTTCTCGTGAAGATCCCCGGCTTGGGCAAGAGTGTGAGCAAGCAGGTAAAAGGTATAAAGATTAACAGATTGTGAATGAAGCACAAGAAAAATAAGTAGGGGAAGGTAAGGAAGGCAAAACACATCTCTAGCCTAAACTGAGCCCTCTACTCCCCCCCCCCCCCCCCCCCCCCTTTTCCCTGTCCAAATCCCTTCTTCCCAACTACACTAACTACTGGTCCCATACCTAGTTTTCTACCCTGGTCCTACATCTCTAAGTACTCCTATCCGAGGTCATGTCCTTAGTAATGTCTAAGGTCAACATGTCCAACCTCAAATTGCTCATCCGTGAATGCAAAAGAGATTTTGGGGAGGCATGTGAGAAACGAAAATTTGACAAATTCTTTTGGGATTTTTCAGGATTTTGAAAAGGTACTAGAGAGCATGAGACATAGAAAAATATAACTAGAAGTAGGGACATAAAAAAAAGAGCATGTGAAAAAAAAAACAATAAGGACATGTGAAGAAAAAAGTTAGAAGCATCTTGGTAAGTAAGGCCAAAGATAAAGTACTAAAATACCATACCGCTTAAAAAGTAAGTACGAGTACCAGACCCTGTTACTCCAACCATGCCAAGACATTGCTACCGTATTTGTCGACTCTCTACCACCTCCACATCCATATAGCTACTAGTCCCAATAAAAAATCAGTTATCCTAATATCACAAGCTTGTGTGTTTTGGTTAAAAGATATGAAGTAGCAAAGCCTAGGGTAAAGTTGGTTCTTGAGGGGGTTATTGTTCTTGGACAATTTCTCACATTGAAATAAAAGACACTGAATAAGTAAGAAACTCCTTGAAAAAAAGATTATGATTTCTACAAATTACTTGGTGATATAGAACTTGAATATAGTGTCATGCTATCATATTCTTTCTGATGGGCCATAAGCTATCCGCAAAAAGATTATCAAATAAATTGTTGAAAATACAAATGAAAGAATGAGGGAGAGGGGAGGTACCAAAGTTGATTAAGAAATACGAATCGAGTATTTAGTTGACATTGAGAGTTACCTAAAATAGATATGGTTTCCATGTTGTCTTTGAATCTGAAAATTCTGTAATATTTTACAATATCTTGTTGCTCATCTGTTTTGGTTCTATATAATATAGCCAACAACCACACCCCACTTGCATCATACGTGATAGATAACCCAAACAAGTGTTGAATTTTGTGATGATCAACACACAAACGGAGTTCGACAACTTGCTCGGCGACCTAAAGTCACGAGTTAAAATTCGCCGCAACTTGCATCTGGCAAGGCTTGATCACATGTTGGTGGTCGCAACTTGTGAGGGAGCTACATTACATAATTTATGAGTTACACATTGGCCTGCATGTGATTTGGTGTCGCTGGTTAAATAAACCATGCGAGTTGGGTTGGCAAGCTATGCTCGAATGACCAGGTCTATGCTGGCGACCACAAGTCGTTTGTCGCACATGTTAAGATAAATCCAAAATTAGGGCTCATTTGAGTAGAGAGATCACAAATACAAATTCGCAAAAACATATTTTGATATTCCCGCCTCTCCAATTCGAAGTAGTAGGTTATTTTGGCTTACATTTGGATTCTTGTAATCGTTCGGTGAACATTCGTTGTAACCTCTACTTATTGAAAATATATGCCTCATCTTGTAAGCGTTCGGTTAACATTCGTTGTAACCTCTACTTATTTGAAATATATACATCATCTTGGGTTTGTTGTTTGCATGTTCTTTCTTTTGAAACTTGTTATGTTTAGAGCAAGTTTTCTTTTTGCATATCTTTTCTGGGGTTTGAAGCTCTTGCCTAACTGCTGCCTTAGAGACAATGACATCAAACTGTAACTTGTATGTGAATCCTTTTATATTGTGAATACCTTATTATCAATACGCAGGCTGAATTTGATCCTATAAGGTGGCTTGATAAGTCATTGATACATCTGTGTTCTCGCTTTGGAGACTATCAAAAAGACAATCCATCTTCATTTGTCTTATCTCCACGGTTATCAATAATTCCTCAGTTTATATTCAATTTGCGACGCTCTCAATTTGTACAGGTATTACTTAATTTGGATTATACATTCAGTAAAATACACATCATTGGCTTCTTTTTGGAGGTTGAGATGGTGTTACTCTTGTTTCAATTGTCTTTAGGTCTTCAACAACAGCCCAGATGAGACTGCATATTTTAGGATGGTTATGAACCGAGAAAATGTTGCAAATTCAGTTGTGATGATTCAACCTTCATTGATCTCTTACACTTTTAATTCCGGAGGAGAGCCAGCTCTCTTAGATGTGGCATCTATCGCTCCTGACAGGATCCTTCTTTTAGATTCCTATTTTACGGTCGTCGTATTTCATGGATCTACAATTGCCCAATGGCGCAAAGCTGGGTACCAGAATGAGCCTGAACACGAGGTAGTCTTACTTTAAAGTTGATACCCCTTCTCTCATTTTTAAGAATCTAAAAGAACCAAAGCAATTTTGTTGTAAGATATACATTTCCATTTGGACTATGCTTCGACAGTTTGATCCTCTGTGTTGTGTATATTCTTTCTCTGTTCTTTTATGGTGTAATTCACTCTTTCCTTGTTAAGGCATGCCAAGTGTGGTTTCTTGTTTCACAACATAAAAGCTGTTTTTCAGTTGGCAATTTTTTGTTATTATTTGTAGATCTGTCACTTATATTTCCTTACTTTAACCTTTAGTCACTTATATCTCATTAATGATAACTTTAGTTACGATGGAGCTTACAAGCTGCTACAATATGCCATGAAATATGTCATATATGAAACAAAGACTTGAAATTTAGATGGCATCTCCAGTTGCTAGAACCTATACTACTCACTTGCTACGTTTTTACTGGTTTGCAGGCATTTGCCCAGCTGTTACAAGCTCCTCTTCATGATGCTGAGGCTATAGTAAAGGAAAGATTCCCGGTACCCCGTTTAGTCATATGCGATCAGCATGGATCCCAGGTCATTAATTATTTTCAGTTGCTAACATCTTCATTACTCCCTCCGTCCCGATATCAGTGTCCACATTTCTGTTTTAGTTTGTATGAAAATAAGTGTCCACTTTTAAAAATAGGTGCCTACTTTCCAGTTATAACCTTAATTATGAGACAAAGATTCATTACTTTCTCTAGTATTAGGGGTAAAATTGTCATTTAAGTAATAAAAAGTGTAATAATTACACAATTCTAAAACTGTGTGCCTTTTTTATTGTGGACATTTACTTTGGGAAGGAGGGAGTATTTTCTTTTGGACCAAGATAAAGTGAATAACTTAAAAGATTATAGAAGAAATAACCATCTTGTTCCCATGAAAATTGAAACCTTTGACTTGACATGTATATTTAGCAATGTTTGACTATTTTTCAAATGTCTAAAATACTGTTCCGTGAAGACATATAGATGGATGCTGTGGATCAAATTAACGTCATCAAGAGCTTGTTCTCACAAGTATGTTGGAATATGTGCAGGCTCGATTCCTACTGGCGAAACTAAATCCTTCAGCTACATACAATTCTGATGCTCCACTAGTGCCTGGTGGGGATGTTCTCTTTACGGATGATGTCAGCTTTGAGGTCTTTTTGGATCATCTTCAACGCTTAGCAGTTCAATAAAATTTCTTGCATCTTCTCTATAATCTAGAACAATACACACATAGATCTCCAATTTTGCAAGGTTACCCATCTAAGTCAACTGTATAGTATAGCATACCATCTCTATCACCATATTCTTCTTTATGCACTTTGGCTTAGTTAAGGTAATCGTGTGATGTGTCAATTTTTCAAGATATAAAGTGATACTTTTTTATCACAAGTTATCTAATAGAAAATGGGTTCTTATTTTATGATGAAATCTCTTGCATTTCTCATCATTTACATATTTGCCATCATAAGGTATGCCCTCATTTTTCAAAGAACTTGAAGCAAATCTTTCAAGCATCGGAGCATAATCATTGAATTAACTTTCTTAGCCGTAGAACTTATATTTCATTAACCAAGAAATAAGATTGCTCTAAAGGAGCTTCATTCATCGTTTTTCACTTTGTACTCCATTTGGAATAGTTGCAAATTTGTGTCCATACCTTGAACATAGGCTTGTATTGCCCTCCCATACATTTAATAAATACTCCATCCCAAGAAAGGAAGTCCATATTTGACCATTGAGTGTCAAATATATCACTTTCTTAACTTCAATAACAATAATATTTTGGCACAAATTATATCCAAAACACCGAAGAAGTGCACATAATTTATTTGTAATTAAGTTGATCTACATTAGAACAAAACACTTCATTGATTGACTTGCATGAAAAAATACCGTTCATTTACTTGCAGCTATGAAAGGATTTAGCTCACAAACAAAGAGTATTATGTGGCATTCTCAGTTGCCACTTTATTCTGTATTTGAGTTGTGCAGCTTTATCTCGAACTTGCAGCACAACGTATAAGTTGTGTTCTACTTTGCGGTTGGATGATATTTATAGTTGCTGCTCTTGGGATGTAGTCATGTCACGTGCCTTCTTAGCCAGATGGCTTTTGTAGTAGCTCATGAATTTTGCTATGAATTCTAGAAGAAGACAGAAAATTATTGTTGAACAACATGGAGAAGACCAGAAAAGCACAAAGTTTGATATTTGTATTGATTTTTATAGCAAAGGAAGAGTTCTCTCCTTTCCAATTCTACCCTTAATTTTGGAATGGAGAAATTCATTACTCCCTCTATTATTAAGGGTAAAATTGTCAATTTTAGTTGATTAAAAAGTGTAATAATCACACATTTATGAAACCATGTGCCTTGTTCATTGTGGACATCTATTTTGGGATAGAGAGAGTAATAAAGAACATGGGTAGATATGGATCTAATTGCTTTACCTTCAATGCTCATGAAGAGGTAGAGAAGCTTTTTCCTTTCATCGCTGGGATATGTTTTTCCTTCTTCATTTTGTTTACGTTCAGATCCGCGATGTTTATCAGTCCCCTGGATAGAACATGAAAATGGTCATACATACATACTACGCTTCCATTCTGTATCATATTTAGTAATGACACTAGAGTTCATACGCTATATTCCTTATACATCTTGTCGATTTGATTATGCATAAGCTCCTCAACATTCTTCTTCAGTTCAACTGCTAGAGTCTGCAAATATTGAATATTAGATAATTTATACTTATTGAAGAATTGCATATAGGTTTAATCGTTCTTACTTTAAAGATGAACTCAGGTGGTACACTGTGGTCTATGAGATTTTGAAGTTTCCTACGTATGTCATATAACCTGTCGAGATAATTGATTCAACATGTTAGATTTTCAGTTGAATGACAGAAAGACCAAGTTTAGCACATTTTGGAAGTCTTGGTTTGAGGCCTGTGATTTTTCAATGTTTTGAAAGTGTCATGTTCGTAGTTTTTCTTGATGAATGTGTAACAGAGCGTAATCTAGTAGCTTACTGTTTAGGGCTCTGCTTTACTACTATACTTTCGGCAATATCTGCAATATCATCTTCCCAACCAGTTAAGATTACTTGATCTTCCTCCAGAGGGGAACTGTAGATAGGTTATCGAAATACACACATAAGATGACAAAGAAAAAAGTCCAGCAAGTTTGGAAACTTTGATTAGGATATACACCATGTGTGTGTGCTTGTGGTGCTATTCAACCAACTTATCTACAACCCAACCAACCTTTAAAGAGGCAGATAGGTAGGGGCAGGTTTGGTTGCAAACCAATTTTAGGTTGTGAACGGAGAGCATGCCACGTGTCCCATACATTCACGGGTTATTCATCATGAATGATGTATCAATCATCATGAACGGTGTATCAATTTATCATGAACATGAATGGTGTATTGTTCATATTGAATGTTGCATTATTCGTCATGAATGGTGTATCATTCATCATGAATAGTTCAAGACTGTTCACCTTCATTATTTCATGATAAATGTGGACACCCAGGGACACGTCTCACGCTCTTCTTTGTCTTTGTCCTCCGGTTCACAACCTAAAATCGGTTTGCATCCAAACTTTTCTCTAGATGTGTATACAACATATATATATATATATATACATCTATATGTGTGTGAGTATATCTTTGTATAAACTGAATCAAACAGAACCTATATTGCCAGGTAGCTTCAAATGAGCGAATGGCTTGTCGCAGGTTATTCTTGGAATTGATGGCTATTCTTTCAGCTAATTGCTTTGGCAATTCTATTTCTTCCTTTTTTGCTATGAATTCCAGGACTTCAATAATCTGGAAAGTGGAAACAAAGAAGAAGGATTGGATGATGCTGATAGTTGTCAACAAATAATTGGAGGAGGCTCTTACAAAGTTCAAAAAGTATCCAATGATCACCTCTTTATTAGAAGGTGAAAGGAGTTGGACCAATTTGCAGACGGTCTTAAGTGGTTGGAGCTTCAAAGAATCTTGGCAACAAAAGAAGATTTTATGACATCCCCTATAACGCTCTATAACCCACCTTATATAAAGCAAGGCATCTGTCGATAGCTTGTCTGCTTCATGGAGAATGATAGCTGCAGTCGTTGATTTGAGGTAAATCATGTCGAGTATTTTGGACCCACTTGCTTAACATGCCCCTTTAGTTTTTATTTATATTTATTCACGTATAACTTGAATTTAAGGATATACCTCTACAGTTATCATTGCCGCATCGTGCCATTTTGTTAGTTAACTTATTTGTCTCTTTGATGAGTTCAACTATGACATGCTTCTCGAATCCCTTTAGGTCAGACAGATTAACTTCTACGTGCTGAGATGATTCCTTCACATTTACCACAATACTGCTTACTTCTTCGCCCTGAAATGTACACACAAAGCTCGTAAGCATATATATATATATATATATATATATAGAGAGAGAGAGAGAGAGAGAGAGAGATAGATTCAGGGAGAACCTCAAAAAAATGAAACACTGAGGAACACCCTAATAACCATTCATCTATATGGTATGCACATATCGCATATGCATACAAGTAATTGAAAATGTTTACTGGTTTCTATGCACGTGTGCATACCGGACAAATTACTTGTATGCACGTGTGCATACCATACAAATGAATGATTATCAGGGTGTTCCTCAACTTTTCATTTTTTTGCGATTTCCCGTAAAGCTGACCCTGTGTGTATGAGTGTGTGTATATATATATATATATATATATAAACCAAACCAAACACACCCAGTATATCCTACCATACAAATGAATGATTATTAGGGTGTTCATCAGTTTTTCATTTTTTTGCGATTTTTCTTGAAGGTAACCCTGTGTGTGTGTGTATATATATAAACCAAACCAAACAAACCCAGTATATCCTACTGGGAGGTGGGGTCAAGGGAGGGTGAGATGTATGCCGACGTGACCTTAACGACTATATATATATATATATATAGGATTGGGTTCCGGGGAGAATAAGAGTTATGGTGAGAACATGAGAACAAAACCTACATCTACCTTAACCTTTATTCACCTATTTTTATCGTTACGACTGAAACTTTAACAAGTTAATGCATGTGAAAGTGATTAAATGTATATATAAGTTCATGGAAAGGACTAAAAGGGAAGATAAATATGAAGGATTTTTTACCCCATATTGTAGGGTGGATCTCGAAAGATATGAAAGATCTCTCTCCAAGTTGTACGTACGACTTTCATCGAATACGGCTATAGGTAGTTGCAGGTAGAATAGAATCTCAACTCATCCAAAGGCTAAGAAGTATTCTCACCAGTCTCATGGTAACTGTTATTCTTACATGATCCCAAGTCTCTCTTTCTCTCTCTCTATATATATGTATATATAATGTGTGTGTAATTATGTATCTTCGCATATACTTTTTCTATTAATGGTGTGTACATACATAGATATTGATGTAGGGGCATAATCAAATGAGAACCCGTTATATTGTGATAGTTTTGAGAACTATTATCGTATGGTATTCTTGCACATGATCTTTTCCATCTAACGCTATAATTTAATATATTGATTAACATATAGTTGTTTCACAATATGTATTTGGTTCACAATGTGAAACTTTTTAGTTGTATTTTCTTGTTTTACGAACACACAAAAAATATTCTGATTGTGAAACAAATATATGTTAATCAATGCACTAAATCCAAGCCGTAAATGGAAAATATCATGTGAAATAGCACATGATGCACCAGTTCTCAAGGTTATCACAATCTTATGGGTTCTCAAATGAAGGCCCCTACCCATGTATGCCTAAATGTATATATACATATGATGGGTTGGGTTCATGTGAGAATGAGAGTTATGGTGAAAAGGTAAGAAGGGATTTCCACCCTTGGATCAAGCCTGATTGAAGAGTTCCACTAGATCAACACTAATGAGAAGCACCGGATAGATTCCCTGCTAAAGCGCAATCATGGGTTGGTTTGAGATTAAAAGGTGATCAAGGGTCCAAATCCCTTCTTACACTTCTCACCTTAACTCCCATTCTCACAGTCACAGGGTCCTTCGTCTTTCCTTGATTATGGCTTGAGAAAAGATAAAATAGAGCCAGGGTCTCTTTTAGTGTAAGTAATATTCTTGACTGTTTTAAGATCATAAGGAGGCTATATTCTTTCAGATTCGCAGTTTGTTTCTCAATAATATCAAGCACCTTCTGAAACCAACATATTTGTAGTTGTTCTATGATAAAGTTAATAAATTGCCATCTTTTCAAATTGTATATCGTCATAATCGTGTCTTTGCTTTTGTCTTGGAACGATTACTTTGAATTTCTTGATTCTACATGTTCTATTTATATTAGAAGGAACAGGACATATTCACACACATTATA